TCTGGAATATTTTAGTTGGAGATATAGCAACGCATCACCCACCAACTTGCTTTTAGAGATTTGAAAACATTTTATTTTCTTAACTAAAAAAAAAAATAAAAAAAAATGGATCTAACCATTGCTGTTTCATAGGGTGAAGAGACGAAGAAATGTATCTATACCCGTTATTTCCTAGGAAAGCGATCGCTGTTCATTGGGTGCCAGCCAAAATGTGTGAAAACTGTCATTGTGAGTAACATGATTTAATAACCCTCCTAATTTTTGCAGCAGTATTGTAAAACACACTTTTCAAAACACCTTTGCTTGTGTTCCTTCTGCCCCCTCCTCATCCTCTTCATTCTCGTCATTGTCAATTGAAGTACCAGTGGTAGTCGTAAAACTCAGGCCAACCCTGTAAGTCAGAAAATGGGTCGAAGCTGCCATAACATGTGTATGATAAAGTTAGGGGATGAGGAGCTAAGAGGACCTCACTGTGGTGGTTAAGTTTGTGTGTCAACTTGGCTGGGCCTGGTTGAGTGGCTGGGCAGCTGGATGTAGTTATTCCCCACGATGAGACTGGCAATCAACTCCATGGTGGAATCTACTGTAAGCAGCTGCCTTATGGATGTGGTCTGCTTCCTATATACAAGGAGAAGTCTTGGGGAACAGTTTCTAGCTTATGGCACACTTGAACCCTGCATGTAGCCATGCTGTTAATTGTTCAGCAGCCTGCCATGCTCTGCTAATCCTGGAACTTTCAATGGCCTGCCATGTTGTTTGATAACATTGGGACTGTGCCATTTTATTTGTCAACCTTGGGCTAGTCAGCCTCAGCAGCCAGTAGCTGCCTGAGTGAAGAGATGCCTCTAGCTTCAGTGGGCCGGGAGCAAGAGGCAGAGCTGAAGCCCAAGGTCGAGGGGCTTTCACACAGCCCCTAGAGCCTGGCACTTTGAACTTGGACATCTAGCCTCCCGAACTGTAAGAGAATAAAGTCCTGTTTATTCAAGCCATCCATTTGTGGAATTTCTGTTAGAGCAGCACTAGGTAACCAGAACACTCCTTGTTCTCACAAGACGGTCATTCTGAAAGCACATTTGTCAGCAAGAGACACAAAATGACCAACTCACTAAAGAAAAAGAAGATAGTCCTGGTCATTTAGAAAACAGGAGTCCAGAGCTGAGTATGTCTGGGCTGTGGCTTTAGCATCTGCAGGGAAAGTCTTATAACTTTCTGTCCTGCTTTTCTCCCAGTGGACTAGACATAACCCCTGCCTATCATAGAAAAGACAAGACTCATTGGCCGTTAGGCTGCAGAACTTGAGGCTGGAGGAGACTGTTTCAATGCACTCAGGAATAAAGCCAGGCCCAAACCAAACAGGCAGCCTACAGGGTTTCCCTGACTTGTTTATAAAATGCCAAAGGCATCCCCTGCAGAAGTGACTGCTAGATGAAATGACACAGGACAACAAGGGCCCCGAGCTGGGAATGGTGAGGGTGCCCTGGTCCCTCCCGCCGCCCCCATTCCAGTATCACTCGCACTATCCCTTAAGCTTGTTTCTGCTGCCCCTCATTCATCCTCATTTCCCTTCACCCTCTTCTCTTACTTGCCTTTTTCCTTTCCCTCTTCCCTACCTCCCCAGTGGCAGCCTCAGTCCTGTCTGCAGCATCCCTGAAATCACTTAGCCACCCTCTGTCTTCAGGGGATTTTGTCCCCACCCCCCACTACCCTTCTGTGTGGGGTCAAAGAAGCAGGACACACATCACACCAGCAGGGTTTCTACACAGAGGTGGGCAAAAATGTAACGCGGACGTGTGGGTCAAAGCTTGTGCTTTCATTTCAGGTAAGAGAATGTTGTGCGGGCTTCTTTGGGCCCCAGTGCCAGCCCTGCCCGGGGAAAGCCGGGAACGTCTGCTTTGGAAATGGGGTCTGCTTGGATGGAGTGAATGGCACGGGCATGTGTGAGTGTGAAGAGGGCTTTAGTGGGACAGCCTGCGAGACCTGTGCTGAAGGCAAATACGGCATCCACTGTGACCAAGGTAGGCACGCTCCCTCCCACGCCAGTCAGGCACCTGAGCTCCATAAACCAAGTGGAATATACAAGAAGAGTGTGATTCAGCAGTTGTTCCCTTACTGGCCAGTCTCTCCAGGCTGGCTGGATTCCCATTTGCTATCATCACTGTTCATTACAGGAACATCTGCCTTGCATAATTTGCATAGGGCAGTGCTTCCAAACATTATCATCACTAATCTGAACCTCTGGTGGTGTAGTGGCTAAGGCATTTGGCTGCTAACCAGAAGGTCAGTGGTTCAAACCCACGAGCCATTCATGGAAGGAAGATGGAGCAATCTATTTCCATAAAGATTTACAGCCTCAGAAACCCAACTGGCATGGCTAAGTTGAAATCGACTTGAAGGCAGTGAGCTTGGCTTTTGAGTTTTAACCTGCACCTACCAACACATCCTACAATCTGTCCCTTGACCCAACCCAACCACATGTTTCTGTATTTACCTTCACACTAGTCACCTTGGTTACACTTCCAATTTTGGATACTGCTTGCTATATTGAAAAGCAGTTGTGTACACATCTTCTCCTCTAATCCACACTGCAATCTTGTATACATGACCACATATTGTTATGCCCATTTTACAGATGAGGAGAGTAAGGCAAGGAGGTTAAGTGGCTTTGCCCCAAGGTTACAGGCTATGATCCTGACGAGAGGCAGAACTGAGATCTGAATGCATACTTTGCTGGAATCTAAAGCCTTGCTCTTAAATCATGCCCTCCTTCATGTGAAGAGGACGATCGATTCACCATCAGCAAGTCATGTGCATTAAGCTTTTACAGAAATAATGACCCATTTGATGTAAGTCACCAGCATTCTCTACCCAATAGGGGTTGCTATGTGTCAGAATCCACTGGATGGCAGTGAGATTAAGCAGTATGAGCGAGTGACCAGGCACACACCTTTGGGAGGGCTGACAGGAAAGGAGAGGTTTCTTAGTCCATGAAGAGAAAACAAAGCATTGTTCTACCTGGCACTAAAAACTCTGAACTTGACTTTGTTATCAGTGTTTTCTCATCAGCTGGTCCAAGCTAAACAAGGGTAACATATAATGGAAAGTGTCATAGTGCTGATTTTATCTGTGATTTGGAAGAATTCTTGGCTTGCATTTGCACAGGGATTCCTAACCTGGGACCCATGGATGAGCAACATGGGATCTAGAAAACTCCCAAGACTGGGTACATCCATAGCTTTCATTCAATTCTCAAAAAGGCTTGTGACCCTGCTGAGAAACAAAGGAATCAACATTTCAGATTGATATAAAACCATATCAAATTAGCTTCTTTTTGAAGTCCATTCTTAGGGAACACATGTGATCATGCAAAGAGGCCCCACCTTGGTCTTCAGATAACCTTAGCTGAGGACACGCTCACGCTGCTTGGGTCACTCACTCATACTGCTCAAGCTCACTGCCATCGAGTTGATTCTGACTCATGTTGTTGTTGTTGTTGTTATGTGCCGTCAAGTCAAACCCGACTCATAGTGACCCCGCCTTGGGTTTCCGAGGCAGTATCACTATGGAAGTAGGATTGCCCAACCTTCCTTCCGAGGAGTGGTTGATGGGTTTGAACCGCCAGCTGTCTGGTTAGCAGGCAAGTGTCTTAGCATAGCCACCCCTATCGGGTTTCCAAGGCTGTAAATCCTTATGGAAGCAGACTACCTCTTTCTTCCATGGAGTGGCTAGTGGGTTCAAACGACTAACCTTTTGGTTAGCAGCCAAATGCCTTAGCCACTACACCACTAGAGCTCCTTAACTCATACTGCTACACAGTCCCAAAACTGAATGGTCTTATTGAAGCATGATCTGGTTCACCTGTCACCAACATGCCAGATTCTATTTCCCATGAACCTTCCCTTCCTTTAAATCAAGCTCTCCATTAAAGACAATGGTTTTGGGAAATCAGTTTGAAGAACTAATTGCAATGAAGAGAACTCTTGTAATAAATGATAAAAGAGATACTGAACATTATCAGAGGCTGATGATTTGCAGGCATTTTTCCACTTAGCATGTTCTTGTGTCCACGGAAGATGCAACCAAGGACCCTCGGGTGACGGCTCCTGTGAATGTGACGTTGGCTGGCGAGGAGTGAAATGTGACAGTGGTAAGAGTGCCCCTTTGGGCAGGAGGGAGGAGGGGGACCAGGTTTGCTGGTTCCAACAGAGCCTGGTGGAACCACTGAGACTATGGCCCTAGCTGCCCATCAGGTCTGGAATTGAACCCACACCTGTGGCTTCCAGCCAAACAAAAGACAGGCATATGAGTTGAGCATTTTACATGAGGTAGATACATTCTTTGGAGAGAACAATCATGGGAGAAAGAAGGGCTGCTTATGCACCGGGAGACAGCTCAGGGGGCAGGAGGGCATGGAGGGATGGACACAGGGAAGAGGTAATTATCAGGAGGAAGTGGGAGGAGAGCTGTTGCATTGTGGTAAATTGTGGTCAATGCCATGAGACAAAGTGTATGTGAACTGCTGTATGGAAAGTGAATTTGCTCTGTAAATTTTCACCCAAATCACAATTTAAAAAAAAAAAAAAAAAGAGTGACCCTTTAGTATTTATTATTTTTAGCCTCACTTTTCAACAGCTACAGTTTTTTCTACCTAAAATGGAAATAACATCTTTATCACTGCTTCTGGAGGAAGTAATTCCTCCTTATAACTAAAAGTTTATGAAACAAAGAAAATAAAAAATAAAAGTACTCATCCTCCCAAGGTAAAAAATAACTCATTAATACTTGGTATTAATACCTTCCAATTTTTTTCTAGGTATATAAACATACATATATGAAACTGTAGTCTACATATTGTTTTGTCATCTACTTTTTACACTACACAGCACACTAAGAGCATCATTCCATGTATATATAGATATTGTTGTTGTTGTTGTTATGTGCCGTCGAGTTGCACCCAACACATAGCAACCCCTCCTTGGGTTTCCAAGGCAGTATCACTATGGAAGTAGATTGCCCATTTTCCTTCCAAGGAGTGGCTGGTGGGTTTGAACCGCCAGCCTTCTGGTTAGCAGTCAAGTGCCTTAGCCACTATATATAGATATACATCCATATATAGATATACATCATGACTTTTTAAATTTCTACATGATATTCCATTAGATGAGTATACCTCATTTTTTAAATCCATTTCCTGTTATCATAAACAATGCAGCAATCCATATCTTGTATATACATCTTTTTGCATTTGTCTTAATACTTCATTTAGCTAAATTCCTAGAGATGGAATTTCTGAATCAGAAGTTGGCACTTTGTGGAGAGTTTTGCTATTTATTGCCAAGTTGTCCTCCAGAGGTTCTATCAACTCACCCACCATCAGGGTCTGAGCAGGCCCACTTCTCCTACACCCCCACCCCCACCTCCCCCACCCAAATCCCAGCACATTGCCCTGATGTTTCTTAATAGGCTCCAGGTGAGTGATGAGAAGAAAGATAAGGTGAGGCAGAAAGAAGAACGTGGAATGGCACAGAGATATGAGAACACTCTGTACATTTAGGGAACCAAAGGAATTCAGAATAGGAGCGTGTAAGAGCAAGGAAGAAAGTTGAATGAGAAAAGGCTAGAGTGGGGGCAGGAGCTAGATCATGAGAGACTAGGGGCGTTGGACTTTCTCCTACAGCCAACAAGAAGCCATTAAAGGGTTTTTAACAGGAGAGAAATATCATCCTACTTGCATTTCAGAAAAATCATTCTGACACTGGATATGAGAGAATACCTCTGGAAGCAGTTATCAGAAGGGTCAGGAACAGCAGAAGTTATCTCTTCTGGGGTGGGGAGGGGGGGGCATAGCAGGAATCACAGGTGTCCACCAGCCCTAGCAGAGATTAGGAGTATCTTTGGCCAGAGTTCTGAGTGATGTTGAAATCAAGGGAATGCAGAAGTAAGAACTGTTTGAAAAGCTGAAATAGGAAGTCTGAGTGGTTCCAAGCGGAGAAGACAACCCGGGGCAGGTATCAAGCTCGAGAAGAGAGGGGAGAAGGGGTCATGCAAACAGGAAGACATCTGGGTGGGTCTCTAGAATAGATACAGTAGCTTGCCCCTGGCTGTCACATGGTGCATGGGAGGACCAACCACACTTAAAGTGACAGGGTCAGGGAACAGTGTGGAAACTGTAGCAAGTTTTCAAGAGACAACTGATGAAAGTCTGAACTAAGTCAGTGGCATGATTATGGCAGTGAAAATGGAGACACTTGGTTGTTAAATGAGCTAAAATCAACAGCCTGTGGTGACTGGTTAGCTGAAGAAGGAAAAGAAAAGGGAGGAGGGGGTCAAGGATGACACTGAGATTATGACTTGGGCAACAACATGGAGAGTGGACCAGTTTAGGAAGAGGCCTATTGCGGGGTAGTTCAGTTTGGGGTAGGTTGAATTTGAGGTGCCAATAGGCATCCAGATAGAGATGGCCAGGAGACATTCATTCATTCAGCAGGTATTTGGCTGAGTGCCTACTATGTGTCAAGCACTCTGCTAGGGACACTGCAGTGCATGTAATTTTGTCTCTGCCCTCAGAGTTTACAGTCTGGTGGCAGATGCTGACAGGTACCCAGCCAGTTACTAGAGAGTAGACAGTTGAATTTGTGGGTATAAGGTTCAGGAATGAGGTCAAGCCTGGAGATATAAGTGTATGAGACATCAGTGAACAGATACAAGTATCTAAGGTTCATTCATGAAGAGGAAGACAGCTAAGGCAAGGAGGCAGAACCAGACTCCCTCTCTTTCTGATTTACCTACCATGAAATACCCCACCACTCACCCATCTCACCCACTCACCCACTCTAGAAACTGCCCACTCAGCCTCCATGTCTCCCTGTCCTTCATTACCACATCCAACTAAGCCTGCTCCCTCCACATCTGTCTAAACCATCCCTTCCTCCTGCCCTCCTCTCAACAGTCATCTCTTGGCCAATCCCTCGGTACCCGATCCTGTGTCCCATATTCCATACTCTGTATTGTTGGCAGAGAGAACTTTCCACAATGTAGAAAAGATGTTTACTAATCCCTCCCCAGGACTGGACAGCTTTCTATGGTTCTTCACTGCCTACAGGAGAAAGCTCAAACTCCTTAGCAGGGTGGAGTCCAAAACTATTCATCAACTGGCACTCGCCCAACTTTCCAGCCTTGTCTCTGGTCCATCTTCAATGCACACTCTGCCCACAGAATCTAGTAAAGGAAACAGCAGTGTAAACAATGACCTGCAAAGAAAGGCTAGTAGAAATAAATAATCAATTAAAAAAAGGGGGGGTGAGGGGGATAGCAATATGGGAATGAAGAGCAAAGAGTATCTAGTGTAAAAGAAGGAAGACAATTGCTTTGCCTGAAAGCTAACTCCCCACTCCCAAGCCCAAGGCAGACATCACTAATCAATCATTGCACTCTTTCCCTCCAAGGCCAGATCAAACAAGAAAAAACTCACTGCCATCGAGTCGATTCAACTCATAGCGAACACTCCTTGGGTTTCCGAGGCAGTATCCCTATGGAAGTAGATTGCCCAGTCTTCCTTCCAAGGAGTGGCTGGTGGGTTTGAACCACTAGCCTTCTGGTTAAAAGTCAAATGCATGAGGCACTATGCCACCAGAGCTCCCCTGAGGCCAGATAGGAGCACCAAATCCATCTCAACAGAACATACCATGTAGTCACTACCAACTAATTGGAGTTTAGAACAGATTCCAGAAAGGAGGACCTCAAAGATGATTGAAGTTTTAATAGACAGCAAATGGAGAGAAAGTTCTAATAGACAGCAAATTCAATAGAAAGCAAATGTGCTGAAGGAATAGAACAACACAGGGAAGCATAAAAGTACACTGCCTCCACTCCAGTCTGCTTGAGCTTGGAAATGTTCTGCCTGACAGAATACAGCTCGTTTTACAGCCAGGTCTCTTTCTCAGAACGTTCTGCTAACCCCAAAAGCTCTTAACATAAGCCTCCAGCCCAGAGGACACACTTCCCTCCTCTATAGTGATTTCTTCTTGGATCCTCCCTGCCAGGAAATACCTGTTAGCTGGATATTCAAGAGCAAAAACCTATGGTGTGTCCAGGAAATTTAGTAGTTAATTCAACAAATAGATGCTGTGTGGCAGGCCTTGGATTATTTCTGTACATGCAAAAAAATTTAACATTAGTTATAATTGCACATTTGCTTGTTGATGCCATGTCATAATAAAATGACCAAAAAAATTAGAATGAAGTAGAAAATCAAACCCCAGGAAGAGATGCTCATCAACCACTGAACATTAAGGACCCACAGTCACACAAGAGGGGAGACTCTGAGCTTTACTCATCTTTGCCTCCTTGTGCCCGAGCACAAGGCCTGGCACACAGGAGACACTTTGTTAGTAGTTCTTGTACTGTTGTTGATCCGTATTTGACCTCCGGATTTGGCTCTGAGCATCCTAGCAGCCAACGTAAAGAAAGATTTATATAGTGGTTACATAGTTTTTATGATGGATACCAGTTACTTCAGAAGAAGTAAATCTTTTCCTGGCACTAAGTACTAAAAGATAGTCCTCAAATGAAGTTTAGTGAAAGAAGGCTGACACAGAATGAAAGAGAGCATGGGTTCAGCGATTTTTGAAGACTGCAAATGATATTGAACAATGGCCACAGAAGTGCAACATGCTAAGGATAATGCGACGGCATTATTGTGCATATGAAAATCTGATTGTGTACTTACATGTTAGTGTGCAGTTGAGCACATTAATGCCTCAAATCTTTCATAGATCAACTAGAGACATAAATGAATAGGTATATCTTAAGGAACAGATTCCAAGTTACGATTAAATATGCTGGAGATTGACTGGGGGAAAAACATCTGTGAAAGAATAAATGGATGAAATTTAAAAAAAAAAAAAAAAGCTGACACAGCAACTGGTTCTCTTTTTCAGAGATCACAGAAGACAGCTGCAATGGGACATGCCACAGCAGCGCCAAGTAGGTGCCCTCCGGGACTCCTCTGAGGCAATGCAAAGGGGATTCCTTCTGAGGACTTTGGCTCCAGGCCCCATCCTTGAGGGAGCCATTTCCTGGTGCTACTTACCAGACACTAGCATAAATTACTAAGTATGAGACTAAAAATATCTCTGAGGAGGCCACCATCAATGTGCCAGTTCCAGCCTTCCAACAAGCTTCCACTTGAGTTGCTGGCACAGTGGTGAAAATGGCAGCTGTCACCCAAATCCGAGCCCCTTAGACTCTCTCTGAGACAGAGGGAGCCCAGTGGGCTTTTCTCTCATTAACACTTAATCACACCTCACAGCCAGGCCTGAGTTCTTACTCTCAACTCCCACAGATGCTTACTGTGGTGGTAAGTTGGAGTTAGACCAGAATTCAAGGTCAGCCTCTGTAAGTTTCATTGACTGTGTGATCTTACAAGGGGCTCTGGTGACGCACTGGTTAAGGCATTCAGCTGTTCAACAAAAGTTCTGTGGTTTGAACCCACCAGCCACTCTACAGGAGAAAGGTGAGGCAGTCTGCCTCCATCAAGATTTAAGGCCTTGGAAACCCTATGGGGCGGTCCTACTTTGTCCTATAGGGTCTCTATGAGTCGGAATTGACCCAAAGGCAGTGGGTTTGGCAGTGGATGTGACTTTGAGCCAATTATTTAATTAATTAGTTCATTAGTTAATAGGTCTCAGTTTCTTCATCAGGAAGTAGGAATAATCCAGCACCACCACTTGCCATTGACTTGGTTCTGATGCCTGGTGCATCAGGGTGGAACTATCATCTAAAAGGTCTTCAATGGCTGAGTTTTCAGAAGTGGATCACCAGGCCTTGCTTCCAAGGTGCCCTTGGGTGGACTCAAATGATCCATCTTTTGGTTTGCAGCCAGGATATTAACAGCATGCATCACCCAGGAACTCCAAGTGGAAATAATAATATCTATTTCCTCCAACTATTGGATATTGTGCAGATCATGTGAACTAAAGCAAGCAGCACAGCCCTGGCACATAGGAAGTTCTCTGAAGATCAGTAGCTACCCTTTTTATTCCTTAGCTTCCACCTATAGGCACACACAATGTATTCTGTCAATCAGTGACTGCATTTTAGATGCTTATTGTAGGGCCATGCTAGCAATGGATTCTCCTACTTTGCTCCCAAACCTTAGGCAGGATTCCTGAGTGCCTTATGGGAGCAGGGACTGGAAGCCTGGGGAGAGGGGGTGAAGGCATATTGTAAGTAACATGGTAAGATGTTTCCCGTTCTTGTTGCAGCTGCCTTCTCAATTCAGATGGCACAGCCTCATGCAAATGTGCAGCAGGATTCCAAGGCAACGGGACAGTCTGCACAGGTAAGTGGAGGAGGAATGCTCTGGGCCTCAAGATTTGCACAGGCTGTGGAGAGATCTGGGTTCCTATACCCTGACTGGGCCTCGCCAGCTCATGCCAACCATCCACGGTGAACTTGATATAACAGGGCAACTGATTGGGCCTCAGGGCCAGAAACCAACTGTTCACATAAGGAGCTTGTCAGTTTTGGAATGAGTGGGACAATGGCACTTGTTTTCATCAAGCCATGGTCACCACCTTTACTGCCACTGGAATCACCTAATGTTGTTAGTTACAGCCATCGAGTCAGCTCCTACTCATGGAGATTGGTGTGCAGAGTAGAACTGCTCCACAGGGTTTTCAATGACCGTAACTTTTTGAAAGCAGATTACTACTAGGCACCACTGAGTGTGTTATAATGCCAACTTTTTGGCAATTAGTCAAGCACTTAACCATTTGTGCCATCTACCTGAGGAGCTTTAAAAACCACTAAAGAGCATCCCAGGGATTCTGATTTGATTGGCCTAGGGCATAGCCTGGGCATCAAGACTCTGGAGAGGGTCAGAAAAGGGCTTGAGCCCTCGTCCTTCCTCTTATCCATGTGTCCTTGTGTGGATCTAGGGTGAGTCTTAACTGCTATGAGCCCCGCTACTTCATTTGTAAACATAAAATGACCTCCCTTGCAGACTGGCTCTGAGATTAAATGATCACTCTGTGCACAATGGCAACATAATACAGCTATTGAAACTCAGCCTCAGCACTAGACTCTCTGGGTTTGAATCTAATCTCTTATTATTTATATTACCTTGGTGTGCTAGTTTCCTGTGGCTGCAGAAACAGATTACCACAAACTGAATGGCTTAAAACAACCGAATTGTATTTTCTTATAGTTCTGGAGGGTGTTATAGTGTGCAGTCAAGTTGGTTCCAACACATAGTGACCCTACATACAACAGAACGAAATACTGAGCAGTCCTGAACTATCCTCATAATTGTTGCTATATTTGAGCCATTGTTGCAGACACTGTGTCAGTCCGTCTAATCTTTTTTGCTGACCCTCCACTTTACCAAACTTGATGTCCTTCTCCAAGGACTGGTCTCTCATGATAATATGTCTAAAGTACATGAGACAAAGTTTCAGCATCTTCCCTTCTAAGGAACATTCTGGCTGTACTTCTTCCAAGACAGATATGTTTATTCTTCTGGCAGTCCATGGTATAGTCAGTATTCTTCACCAACATTGTGATTCAAATGCATCAGTTCTTCTTTGGTCTTACTTATTCATTGTCCACCTTTCACATGGATAGGAGGCAACTGAAAATCCATGACTTGGGTCAGGTGCATCTTAGTCCTCAAAGTGACTTCTTTGCTTTTTAACACTTTAAAGAGGTCTTTTGGTGCAGATTTGCCCAATTCAATATGTTGTTTGATTTCTTGACTACTGCTTCCATGGGCATTGATTGTGGATCCAAGTAAAATGAAATCTCTGACAACTTCAATCTTTTCTCTATTTATCATGATATTGCTAACTGGACCAGTCTTGAGAGTTTTTGTTTCTTTATGTTGAGGTGTGATCTATACTGTAAGTTGTAGTCTTTGATCTTCACCAGTAAGTGCTTCAAGTCATCTTCACTTTCAGCAAGCAAGATTGTGTCATCTGCATATCATAGGTTATTAATGAGTCTTCCTCCAATCCTGATGCTGTGTTCTTCTTCATATAGTCCAACTTTTGAGTTATTTGCTCAGCCTACAGATTGAATAAGTATGGTGAAAGGATACAACCCTGATGCAGTATTTTAAACTACGTAGTATCTTCCTGATTTTAAACCATGCAGTATCTTCTTGTTCCGTTCAAATGACTGCCTCTTGATCTAAGTACAGGGTCCTCAAGAGCACAATTAAGTGTTCTGGAATTCCGTAGAACATAATAAATAAGATGTACATGATAAGATGGTCAGAAACAACACCAAAAACTAACTGTCCTAAGTGCTTGTTCATTATAACTCCAGTGCATAGTAAGTCAAGGACTACATGTATATAGAGAGAAACTTACTTCAAGGAAATGGCTCACACATTTGTGAGAAAATGACTCATGCAATTGTGGGACTGACAAGTCCCAAATCTGTGGGTCAGGGGACAGGGTGAAGACTTCTGGTGGCTCACATGGTTGCAGGTGCTGACAAACCCAAAATCTGCAGGTCAGGCAGCAGGCCAGAGATTTCTGCAGGCTTACTTCACAAGGACCTGAGGTCAAGCAACAAGAAGAGTGCAGAGTTGAGAAAGAGAATAAGCTTTGCCAGCACATCCATTTATATACTGGAGACAGACCCCACCCCCAAGAAAACTCCCCTTCAACTGATTGGCTGCTCACATCAGATCACAATATTGAAGGTGATTATACAATGTCCCGCAAACCACTGAGAATCATAGTCTAGCCGAGCTGACTTATAACATTCACCATCACTACACTTTAACCAAGTAAGGTCACATTCACAGATTCTAGGGATGTGACATGGATATCTTTGGGGGATGGGGGTCATTTTTCAGCCTACCATACCTGGGAAGGTTGCTTGACTTCTCTTTGCATCATTTTTTTGTCTGTAAGTCAGGGATAATAAGATAACTCCCCTCACTGAGTTGTTAGCTAATTACCTGGATTAAAAACTGTGAAATTGTTAAAACAACCTTGGCACACAGCACTCAAAAACATGCAAACTGAGATCCTTGCTGTGCCTAACACATATTTGGTGCTAGGAAACTGAATACTCTTAGCATCACTATTCCCTGGAGGACTGTGTCCAGCAGGCTTTTGTCCGGACTGCAGTGGAGCTGGACACTGATGATACAGACAGCTTTCTAAGCTGTCTTACCCTGGAATGTGGATACTGACCTTGGTCCTAGATTTTTCCTGCAGTAGAATATATACAGTATCCTAGTGAAAACAGCTGGAAAGGGAAAACAATTGGAATGTTTTTCCTGCCCTCTGTGTTTGGGAAAAATAGCAAAATCAAAAGAATGTAAGTTAACATAAATCAATGAACATTTGTATAACCCTTTCATACACATTAGCAGCTGTAAGTCCCCAAGCCCATATACAAGCCCCTATGGGTCAACCCCAAAATTCACTTTAAGTAACTTATCCAACAACACACAGTGAGTAAAGATCAAGCCAAGACTAAAAACCAGGCCTTGGGATACCAGACCCCAGATTTCTTGCATTGCATTTCACGGAGGACTTTTTT